GAAAATTATAAATTAATTAAAACTAATTAATCCTTAATTAACCTCTCCCTAATCCCGATTATTGTGCCTAACTGATTTACCATTCGAATTATGTGTTGACGAGTCCATCCAGAGCCTTCGATTTTCTTCTCCCCTCCCGATATCAGTCTCCCTGCTCCCGGTTTCGTCGCCCGCCCTCCCTCCCTGCTTCGAATGCGCTTACAGTAGGCTCAGCAAGGGTTATGTTTGCAGCCTTGTAGCTCTGCCACGCCCCACTGAGTCGCGAGCATAAGAGGGGAGCAGCCCGCTGAGTGCCGTAGCTCATGATCCCGAGTTCAGGGATGAAATCAGTAAGTCCAAAATTGATTTTAGCGACATTTGTGGCTTTCATTTTCTTCCTCTTGCATTCATTTTGAGATTTACCTCATTTTTCGTGCATTGTTCAATTTCGGCAGCCGTCAAAAGCATTGAACTTATGTTGGAATTTTCGAAAGTGTTTGCGAGGTTCCACAAGGATTTTAGCATAATATCAGCGAATGAGAAACGAGATTTGAGGAAGAAGATGGAAGAAGTTTTAGTAACTCGAAAAAGTATTGGGTTGCCTAGAGCTACTTAACGTATGTTTTGGCAAATCAATGATATTTTGAGCTAGATCACCTTCTGAACTATTATATACTGAAGTCTGAAGTCGTTTAAGATTTCAAGTTGTTTACTCAGAGGCAACGAGTTCGAGGCAAACATGTGGAAGTTAGTTGTAGGACTACTCCTAAGTTCATGTAACATAATCTTATGTTAATTTAAGAAGAGTAATTTAATTTAAGGAAATCAATTGTATATTAAAGTTGAATATTATGTTTTATAGGTTAAGCTTAACATAAAACTCACAACCTCTAGCAAGGTGCCAAGGATTAAGAATTTATCTTGGTAACTGATGTGAGTAATTTTGTTTATAAATTTCAATAATTTTCTTTTTTTCATATGATATATTTGATTCTAGGTATGCTCTAGTTTAATTAAATTCTTCATATTGTTAGATTAGAAAAGATATGCACGATAGTAAAAATATTCAAGATATGTAAGATAGACATGATATGCAAGATTGACATGATAGACATGATAATAAACATATATCTATGATAAGTATGATAGAAAATGATATGCATGAGATAAGAGATGCATTTTATGTGAGTTATGTATGATGGATAGTTGCACAACAGAGTAATTATGCATGTTAGTAGATGCATCAGAATAATGTATGCTATGAAGAATGAAATAACTTATATATAAATGTTTTCATGTGCATGTTCAGAGGAGGAATTAACCCTCTAATGGTACAGACATGAGATGCCAGTGTACCTGCACGCGTAGAGTTTTTTTACCAGCATAGACAATTGTGATGGTTAGATCACTAACCGCTATGCCAATGAGATAATCTCGGTTAGGGACGAGTAGAACAGAGCTTACCTCCCCAGACAACTGTGATGTTTACATTGCTGACCGCTGTGCCGTAGAGATAATATCAGCTAGGATGCAGGCAGGGGCCTTTTCACCCAAGAAAATTTTGATATTTACATCGCTAACCACTATGTCGAAGGGAACCGACAAAGCAATATCGACCAAATGTGTGTTAGGTTTTATTAACGGTAATTCTCACAAAGACAGATGTGTAAGTAAATATTATAAAAGAAAGATAAAGTAAATGCATTTAGAGGAATTGAGAATTTTCATTTAGAAAATATCATTGATAGATGCATTAACATATTATTAGTGTTCTTTTAAAAATAGACTAGCATATTATAAGGTTTCTTATAAAAGATATAAAAGATCATAATGCATATTGAATTTTTTTCATTGGGTTATTATAATTTAGAAGTGTGATTATGTGATTATTCTTAGTTTATCTTTAAATAAATTATTATGTTGATTTAATATTATTTTTAGATGTTAAGTATTTGAATAAGATGAACATAAGAAGATTAAATATGTATGAACTAGTTCTTTGAACAGAAGAAGATCAAATATGTATGCTCTTTGACGCTCTTTGCCATGCCTTCAAACCGAGGCTCTAATATACCAACTGTCACAGATTAACTTATCCCAAGTCACCCGTGTGGCTTTAGCACTCTTCCTTGGCGCTACATCAACATAACCCTCATAACCCTTGGACTTGTAACCACACCACTCATGGAAGAAGAATAGGGAGAAGTATTGGAGAAAGGAACTTCAGTAAGAAAGAAGGATTACAACACTTGAAGGCTTGGAAGCTTGGAAGGTTTTCTTGGATGAAATGCTTGGATGGATACAACTGAGGAGAGGGACTCTTATTCATAGTCCCCTCCAAGTCCAAGGGAATATTCTAGAATAACATAGTTTCTAGAGTGCTCTCTAATATTCATATATACATACATAGTCCTAGATCTTTCTAGGTTATTCTTGAGTTCTCCTTGGAGCTTTTCCTTCTCATATTCGCTAGAATTGGGTGAAATTTTCTAGAATCCATTGAAATACTCTCTATAATCTGGTGTTCTCTAGAATCTTCCAACCCATGTTTGCCTTGCCAATTTTTAGAGGATGATAGAGCGTGACACGAAGCCCAAGATCAAAATTTTGAGATCAGTGTTAACTAATGTTTAGTAAAGCTTGATAAGAAGGTAGACATAAATATTAGTGGAATTTGTTGTTTACGAATTGGGCGACATGAATCTTGACATCTCCGATTGCCAAACATATTTATGTATAAATAACATAGGTAGTTGCATTGACATCCATATTTTCGTGTTCGTATTCAGATATTGGTATATTGCAATTATTTGTATGCTCATATGATAAAATCCATTATCTAAAAATTGAATAAAAATTGAATGTAGAAATTTTTACTCAAGTTGAACACATACGGTTTGAAGAACCATGTAATACAGAGCTTTTAGACATAGCATTCTGATCCTGAACATTGAATGTTCTTTCTTGTTGTCCCGTTCTTGGAAAATCTTGCATTTTATTTGAAAGTTCAACGTTGCCTATGTTTATGCTCTGTCCTATCCTGTCATTTCAATTTTAGGGTTTAGCTTTTCGTTTGGCCTCTTAGAAATTTTTGGGCTTAATTACATACAGACCTTCCAAAACTTGCTACAGACCTTCCAAAACCAACTTTTCTCATCGACAACAACAACAACAACAACAACAAAGCCTTAATCCCACTACGTGGGGTCAGCTACATCCTTTTTCTCCATTGCATCATATTTAGTGTCATATTTTCCTTTAGTTCTAATAAATTAAGATAATTTTTTATACAGTAAGCCCAAGTCTTTCTAGGTCTACCTCTGTCTTTCTTAACATAACTTGAATCTAAAACTTCTACTCTCCTAATCGGATCATCAGATGATCGACGTTTAATGTGATCAAACCATCTAAGACGACTCTCTCTAATTTTGTTTGTCACTGGAGCTACACAAACCCTCTCATGGATATAATCATTTCGCATTTTATCTCTAAGTGTAACGCCACTCATCCACCTAATCATTCTCATCTCGGCAACACTTAACTTAGTATTATGCTTCTCTTTTAAAAGCCAACATTCAACGCCATAGAGCATTGCGGGTCTCACCAGCCTCTTATAAAATTTTCCTTTCAGTCTAAGCGGTACTTTTCTATCACACAAAAGGCCAGAAGCATTCCTCCATTTCAACCAACCAACTTGAATTCTACTATTAACATCCCTATCTATATCACCATCGCTTTGAACAACAGACCCGAGATATCTAAATCGTTCACACCTTTTAATAATTTGCTCATCCAAAGTTACACTTCTTTCACTGGAGCTACGACTACTAAAATTACATTCCATGTATTCAGTTTTGGCTCTACTCAAATGAAGGCCTTTAGACTCCAATGTTGACCTCCATAATTCAAGTTTTTCATGGGCTTTTTCTCTCATCTTATCCACGAGAAGGATATCATCAGCAAAAAACATACACCAAGATACATACTTTTGTAAATGTCCAGTAAGACCATCCGTAACTAAAGCAAAAAGATATGGGCTTAAAGTCGAATCCTTTTTCATCGGCATTGATATAAATTTCATTCAGTAGTATGAGTTGAAAATATTATTTGTTTTTTCTCTCAAACAAATTATAAAATATCTATTTATTAAAAATTCCATAAGTTTAGAGCTATTTAGCTTTTTTTTGGCAAGTTCATCCAACTCGGCAGTGTTCTAGACTAGATTTGGATTACTCTTGGGAATCCTACCCATGTTGAAGCTTTTGCTCAAAAGTGTCCGACTTAAGAGGTACGCTACAGGCTTGAGCCTTCTCTTTGGTGAATGTTAGCTGAGCTGAGATCTGAACTCTTTTATGATCTTTCTATGAATTAGTATTTCATAGTTTGCTTCATGATAGAAAAAGGCTTCAATAGCCCCTGGCAAAATTTCTTAAATTTACTATCTTATTTAATGTGGCTTACTCATGCTAAACATGCGAGCACTTGTTGGTGAGTTTCTATTTAGGTGTATAGACATCAATGTACTAATTATTTTTCTCATATATGCCGTAATTATAGGGCATATTGTACAATATATATGGGTAAATCTTGAGATGAACATCCTAAATTATAGGGCATATTGTACAATATATATGGGTAAATCCATTCATTATGGGATTGATATGCTGTGCAGAAGTTTGTTTATGCAGCTTCTTGAATTTATGTATGTTTAAAAGAGGCTAATCTTATGTGAATCTCAAAACGTGTATTTTCTGGATTATATGCATGTGGGTAGTTTTAGTTGATGGGAAGTATATTCATATTTTGTGGCTTTTGTGCAAAAAGAAGGATTTTTGCTAGTTTTCTTTGAAAATGTACATTTATTAATTGGATCTCATTATGTTTATTGTATTATCACAAGATTTTAATAATTCAAGCATTTGAAATTCGTGCCATTATATTATTATTGAGCTATGAGCACCCAGTTCCATGTCAGAGAACAGAAAATTTTGTTGACAGCTATAGATGGTGAATATTTACAGGTTGGTATGGCTGCATTTGATTTGAGATCGGCATCATTGCATCTTTCTCAGTACATCGAAACAAGCTGTTCTTATCAAAACACAAAGACACTGTTGCTCTTTTATGATCCTATGACAATAATAGTTCCTCCTGTTAAGCTGGCTCCAGATGGCATGGTTGGGGTTTCAGAGCTAGTAGATAAGCATTATCCATCAAATAGGAAGGTAAAGGAATTCCTTGAAGTTTATATTGGACTCATTCATGTGTAATTTGGCATTCATCTGCACAGATAACAGTACCTCGTGGTTGCTTTGATGATACCAAGGTGGGGAAATGAGATAAATCCTTGTTAGTCATTATCTGTTCAGGAATCATGAAGCTTTTGCTGTTTGCTGATTCTCGTTCTATAATCCGGTTCTTTAAGGGTACTGTGTTGGTGAGAAATCTAGCAGCTAAAGAGCCATCTGCCCTGGGTTTAGATAGTTACCACAAGCAGTATTATCTATGCCTAGCTGCTGCTTCTGCTACTATTAAATGGTAGGTCAAAAATCTTATTGCAGAAGAATCTTTATATTTGTAGTAAGCCCCACTTTCTATGGTTGTGTTTTAGACATTCTTTCTGTTTTTTTTTTTTTTTCCCTTATAAGAGAGAAAGAAGAAATCAGCATGTCATTCTTACGAGAAGCAAATGCCATGGAAATAATACATTTGCAAGTCACGATACAATGGATTTCTGGTGGAAGCCTTGTCACTATGATAAAGTTCTAGATATTATGATGCTTGCCCTTGAATAGTTTTCGTTATTTCTTTTTATTTATTTGGGAGAGGGGGGAGGGGGTGTTATTCCATGTTTGTTATTGTCTTTCCCTTTCCCGTTCGCGTCGTGTTGTAACCCTCATCCAGTGCTAATAAAAGTTTGCTTTTCTTTTATGATAATGCATGAACTAGTTCCGATATCATTTGGTACCAGAGCTAGCCCAACCTTAGTCCGATTCTAGGTTTTTCTAGCACCCACTCTTACCCAAACCACATCTATCAAAATTTTTCTTTCTAATTTATAATCATAGGCATGTTACCATAGATGGATATGCCTGACTCCACCTGAGAAGAGATTCAACAGGTAATCCATCGTCTGCAACGGTGGTTGAGTTGGATGACGGGACCCAGAAAAATATTACATTCGGCCGTGATCTGGAGCATTGAAGGGGAGAGCGGGCGGGCGGTGTTATTCTATGGTTATCATCTTTCTCTTTCTCGTTTGTGTCGTGTTGTAACCCTCATCCAGTGCCAATAAAAGTTTGCTTTTATTTTTCGATACTATGTGAACTAGTTCCGGTATCATTTGGTATCAGAGCTAGCCTAACCCTAGTCCAATCCTAGAGTTTTCTAGCAGCTGCTCCTACCCAAACCACACCTATCAAAATTTTTTTCTTCTAGTTCATAACCCTAGCCATGCCACCACGGAGGGATATGCTGGACTCTACTTGAGAACATATTCAACAGGAAACCTGTTGTTTGCAACGGAGGCTAGTTGAGTTGGATGACGGGACTCAGGAAGAGATTACCTTTGGCCGTGATCTAGAGCATTGAAGAGGAGAGTGGGATGAAGGTCTGAATCCATTCCGCTGGAAAGATCAAAGTGATGAGGAATATCGATCACACCGTTTTGGTATCCAATCTCAGACGATGCTAAGAGAAGAGGCCGGTTATGGAGGCTAACGGGACTTTGACATTCTTAAAAAAAAAAAAAGGGACCTAGGGACCTTGGCATAATGATGAACTTGGCATAATGATGAACCTCCCAAAATTTGAGTGAAACATGGACCCCGATGAGTTTATCAACTGGTTGCAATCAATTGAACAGATTTTCGAGTATAAGGATGTGCTAGAGGACAACGAGTCAAGCTAGCTGCCATTAAACTAAAAAAATGCCTCCATATGGTAAGAAAATCTGCAGAGGCAGAGAAAATGAGAAGGCAGTGAGAAGATAATTAAGTTGTAGAAGATGAAAAAGACAATGTAGAAGAAATACCTCCCACCTCATTGTTGCTAGGACTTTTGAAACTCCACAACTTACAATAGTGGGATCTTTCAGTTGAGTTCACAACCCAGTTTAATCACTTACAGTTGAAGTGCGAGCTAATAGAACCAGAGTAACATATGGTACTTAGATATCTCGAGGGTATGAAGCCCCCCATTAACAACTTGGGGCAGTTACAACCATACTAGATGTTGGGGGATGTCCAAACAATAACCATGAAGGTGGAGAGCAAGTAAAAGAAGAGCACACAACAATCATCCTTCAGACCACCACCTTCAGCTAAGCAGTCACCAGTAGCTTCTACAACCGATAAGAATACCTTGGGATGAAATAACAAAGTCGATAAGGAACTGATAAGGTGGACTATAATGGAAAGAAGCCAGAGATGTAACTTTTCCAATACAGTGCCCACCAGAAAGTGTTTCAGGTGCCACTGCTACGGTCACATAGCCTCCAGTTGCCCTACGAGCTGAGTCGTCACACTCACAGATCAGGGCACTGTTGAGGAGGTCAATGAAGAGTCAGAGGATAGTCTAGAAGAAAAGATTCAGCTCCATGGAGACGAGGGAGAAGTATTATTCATTTTACAAGTTTTGCAGTTCGAGCCAAAGCGGGATCAATGCTGGTTAAGGTATAATATTTTTCGCACCAAGTGCACCATAATGGGTAAGTTTTGCTGCTTAATCATCGATAGTGGGAGCTACGAGAACGTGGTGTCTAGGCTTATGGTGAAGAGTTGGGATTGAACATGCTGAAACATCCTCAGTCATATTCTCTTACCTGACTGAAAACATGAATTTAGATGCGTGTAGATCTACAATGTATGGTTGACTTTTCCATCAAGGATCAGCTATAGGAATAAGTATGATGCGATTTGGTTCTTATGGACGTCTGCCATATTCTGTTGGGTAGGACTTGGCAGTTCGGTCACATGACTCAGCATGACGGTTTTAAGAATATTTATTCGTGCAAGAAGGATGTGAAACATATCATTTTGCTACTAGTTAAGCATACGAAAGGCGGGAGGGATACAGTGGCATCATTAGTTCCATGGACTACTTTTATGCAGTCAGTTAAAGATGCCCTCGTAGCAATAGCATTTGTCCTTCTAGAGGGAACAAAGGAAGAAAGTGAGGTTCGTGCACTGCTGCAACCATTACTGCAAAACTTCTAGGATGTTATGATCGATAATCTGCCAGAGGCGTTACCGCAACTGATGAACGTCCAACACGCCATAGACCTTATATCAGGATCAATATTGCCAAACCGACTCGTATACAGAGTGAAACCTACAGAGTATGAGGAGCTACATCGATAGGTGCAGGATCTTATTGCAAGGAGACTAGTCAGAGAAAGCACCAGCCAGTGTGCTTTTTCCGCCCTGATGGTGCAAAGAAGCACGGGTCGTGGCGGATGGCATCAACAGCCATGCCATCAACAAGATCACTATCAGGTACCGATTTTCCATACCTCGCTTGGATTATCTCTTAGAATAGTTATATAGAGTCATTATCTTCTCCAAGATCGACTTGCATAGTGGGTATCACCAGGTACTGGTGAGGTCAAGAGACGAGTGGAAGACTGCTTTCAAGATACGAGATGACTTTATGAGTGGACTGTTATTCTTTTCTGCTTGTTAAACACACCTAGCACTTTCATGAGATTGATGAACTAGATATTTCAATCTCACATTGGGAAGTTTGTTGTTGTCTACTTTGATGATATACTAGTATACAACCGATTGGAGGAGGATCACTTGCATCACCTGAAGACAATATTGGAGGTGCTGCGAGTCGAGCAACTATATGATCATCTGAAAAAATATCACTTCATGCAAGCCAGGTATTCTTTCTTGGTTACATTGTATCAACTACAGACATTGAGATGGATCCTGTAAAGAAAGAGAGCATTTTTAGTTGGAGCGCAACATAGTCGTTCATCGAGTTGAGACAATTTTTGGTGCTAGCATCAGAGTCATCAGGAACTTCAATACTATCACCTCCCCTTCGACCGAACTTTTGAAAGGGAAGGAGTTTACTTGGACAGTAGCAACTTGGGATAATTTTGACACACTGAAGGAAAGGTTGACTCACGCGTCCGTGCTATCATTATCGAACTTCAACCAAATATTCGAGGCAGAATGTGATGCCTCTGATGTAGGGTTAGGAGCAGTACAACCAGGGAGGACACCCTATTGCTTTCTTCATTGAGAAGCTGAATGAGTCGAGGAAATATTCGACTTACGATAAAGAATTCTATGCCATTGTGAGAGCCTTGGAGTACTGGAGTCATTACTTATTGATGAGCGAGTTCACACTGTTTACAAATCACTAGGTCTTAAGATTTCTCAATAACAAGAGTAAACTGAAGGGTCAATACGCCACCCCACGTGGGTCGAATTTGTAGCCTCATTCTAGTTCGTGCTTAAGCACAAGGTGGGAAGCTGCACTGAGTCATCAACATCTATTGATCACATCCATGCACACTCGAGTTGTGGGATTTGAAGTCATAAGGGATCTGTACAAAGCAGATGAGGACTTGAAGGACATTTGGGAGCAATGTAGGGAAAAGCCGACAAGACAATATTACCAAGAAGATAGATATTTCTTTCACCCAGCTAGTTGTGCATTTTCAGGTGTTCACTGAGAGAGGGTGGAGGATTAGCAGGCCACTTCAGTAGGTACAAGACTCTCGCCCTCGTAAGAGAGCATTTCTTTTGGCCCCAATTGATGAGAGATGCGGGGCGACATCTCAGGCAATGCAGAATTTGCCTTCTAGTGAAGGCGAGAGGGCAGAATCGGGGATTTTACATGCCACTTCCAGTTCTAGAGGCATCGTGGGCGGACATCAGCATGGATTTCATAGTGGGACTTCGAGGAGCCAACACAACAATGACTTCATGATGTTTGTGGTAGATAGATTGTCCAAAATGACCCATTTCGTGTCTTGCCACCACTCATTAGATGCATCTCATATCGCTGATCTGTACAGGGAGATTATAAGGTTGGACGGAATTCCCAGGATCATCACTTTTGACAAAGACGTTAAATTCTTGAGTTACTTCTAGCCCTCGTTAACCCTTCTCCTATAGCCACCCTTGCTGCCCAGCACACCTATTGGCCACCACACTCCTTTTTAACATACCTCGCAGCCGTCAGCACTTCTCTATACGCGTTGCTGACGCCACCACCGCTCGCGGATCGTCACTCCCGACCCTAGCCGAAGATTGGTTGTTATTGTATTTCTCTTTTCCATTTACGTCGTGTTGTAATCCTCATTCAGTGATAATATATGTTGGCTTTTCATTTCTGATAATGTCTAAACTTGTTCCAATATGAGGGAAGCTTCTGCATTTTATCAACCAGCCATAGTGAAGACAACCGGAGAAAAACTGGTTTATTCCTTAAAACAACCGAAGGAGAAAATCTGGTTTATTCCTTCCCATGATGGCTCTCTCTTTCCTATTCAGCTCAGGTCAAGCCCCTCTTTCATAGGA